CGGCACATGCGGCATGTGGCAACGACAATACCAGCTTCAGCTTCAGCATCAGCATCAGCTTCACCACCAGTCGCCAGCACAGTCACAATCACAATCACAGTCACAGTCCACGCTGCACGCGCGTCAACTTGTGTCAAAAACCAGGCAAGTGCCATTTTGCGGTATTTGTGGCATTGGCCATGGCCAACAGCAAAATCAACAGACGCAGGCAGCAGCAACAGTTATGCTGTCAGAGCACATTGGTTCTAAGCCATATCATTATGAAAAACAATTATAACATTTCAACATATATTTATATATATATACGTATACTTAAACTATTCAGTAAATATAGCAGCAGCTCTAACCTTAAGCTTATTGCAAACATTATTTATAATAGAAGAGAGAATAATTAATGGCCAACAAAAAGAACATTAAATTTATATATTCATCTAAAGTGGGAGCGCTGTTCTTGTGCAGCACTTTAATAGTGAATCCCGCAATAAACTCCAAATTTAATATGTGCTATTTTGAGTACTCCCCATTTGCCAAGAGTGAAACCAGAGTACGCAGTGCAGTTTGAATAGCCAGCGACTCACCCCAGGCAACCGTTTCCCATTTGACATCTGTTCGCTTGCAGCTTTGTTAGCTACCAGTTGTCCAGCTGATGTGGCTCCTCTTCGCAGCCCCAACTTGGACTTTTGTCGTTGTGGTAGCCAGAAAACGTGGCCACCCACGTGGCTTCTACTGATGATATTGTTGCTGCTACTGCTGTTATTGCTGTTGCTGCTGATGCTGCTGCTGTTGCTGTTGTTGCTGCTGCTGTTGCTGCTGATGCTGCTACTGCTGCTGCACTTGCTGCAATTGCACGTCGACCCGTCAAGCGTTTTGATTGAAATGTGTTTGTTTTACTGTGGCTTTGGTTGTTGTTTCCCCTGGAAAAAAAAAATTAAAAAGAAAATGCCAAAGACTAAACAATAAATGCGAGGGGGCAACAAATATTTTGTGCGAAACAAACGATGGCAAAATCCAACACATGACAATCACCATCCTAAACGAACACAACACGGATTCGGATATGGAATCGGAACATTGTATGGACATGGACATGGACATGGACACCGACACGGACATGAGACTACAGATGGAAGGAGATGGATTGCCAGGATTTTTTTTCCATTGCTGTCACGTTTGGCTGTGAACTCAGTTTGGACGTTGATGTTGATGTTTTGAAGCATTTAGTGGTGCGCGGTGAGCATCCACAAGCCAAGCCAGCAAACAGTAATTGCAACATACAAACAAACATACAGTCGTATATATATATATATATATATAGTAGCAACAACAACAACAGCAATAACAATTGTTGCAATATTTGCGGTGAATTTTCTACCAGCACAAGCAAAAATTGTCGACAGTGGAAAAATGCAATGAAACTCGCCTTACATTTTTGTAAGTACTTTTAAAGCATATTTTAGGGAAAAAGAAAGGATGGTTTTACTAAAAATGCTGCAGATGTTTTTTACTTAAATTGTTAGCAGACAGTTTTCCATTATTATAATATATATACATGTATTTAAACAAATGAAAACAATTCTAATTGTTTTAGTAGTAATGTAAATATATTTTTAATATTAATTGAATGCGAAACTATCTTATGCGAATCAAATTAAAACTACAGCAAAATCCGAATCCCTGAAGGGTATGCCGATAAAACAGGAAACACTACAAATATTCTATGCAGATTATCAGCATAAAGATCCAATTGTACTTCTATGTGTGTGTGTGTGTGTGTGTGTGTGTGTGTCGACAACTGTGGTCGCCAGGGGGCGTCAAGGTTCGCATTCACCACAAACAGTAAAAAGCAGAGAGCGTCACAAGTAGTTTCGGTTAGTCTTTTCACTTTGGCTGTGGGGCACAAACGAAGTCATCACTGTGCCCCTTCGACCCCCTCGTCTATAGCTGCCTGTACGGTACTGTTGTTGTTTGGTTCCCAGTGCCCAGTTCCCATTGCACGCCCCGTTGAGCTTTTTGGCAACTTCCAGAAAGAAAAAAATTTGCTTCGCTTTCGTTTCAATTTATTTTATTGCGAAATGCATTTTTTTTTTGTTTTGTTTTTGGTTTTGTTGTGTTTTTGTGTTTTGTGCTGATTTCTTGGCCCCGAACCCGAAAGTGTCGCATTGACTTTATCTCTCTCTCTCTCTCTCTCTCTCCCTCTCTCTCTCTCTCTCTCTCTCTCCCTCATCTTAGCCGAAATGAAAACAAATTTAATTCAAGTGTCAGTTACGATTTTCACGAGGTTGCTGCAAACACTCGCCGCTTGCAGCACAATCGGTTCAAGTTTTGTTTCACTCCAACTGTGGCAAAAGTCAGACATCGTTATTGTTGCTCTTGCTACAAATTTAGTTTGGGTTATCATTTGTGGTGGCCAAATACGACACGCAACACCATTATTTGCCACATACTGACAGCCGGCATTTCCGTCCTGTTCCCGGTCCAGTTTCTGCCCCCCTCCTCCTCCCTCATACCCAATTCTAGTTTCGAGTTTGGGTTTCCCCGTTTTGTCCTTCAAGTGTTACTTGAAAACAACTTGAACTGAACGGTTGAAAGCTATGCACTTGCACTCTCCACATATTGTGACCCTTTTCCCATTTCCACTTCCACTTCCACTTCTACATCTACTTCCACATCCACATCCACATCCACCTGCCAGCCTTCATTCAGTGCATAGCCTCAACCTCAACTCACGGTTCTGCTCTTCATTTTAACCAGCTTTGGCTTTGGCTGACAAACTTTTGCCAATGCGAATACGTGTCGAAAGACTTTTAAGCGCACAAGGACACTTGAAGCAACGCACGGTTGTGACCCTGCCACACTACTCTCTCGCCTCCTCTCTCTCTCTCTCTCTCTCTCTCACTCTCTCACTCTGTGGCCGTGGCTGACAAGAATCAACCTTAAGTCTACGTTTACGTGCCCTCGAATCGGAAAGCGGTGACTTTAATGAGCTTACAACATGGCTATAATGCCACCACGCAGCCAACAACAGATAAGCAACACGCAGCTGCAACTGCTACTGCTGCTTATGCTTCTTTTGTGGTTGCAACTGCGACAGTCCAGCAAATTAGCCCAATAAAAACTCATTAAAAAGGGAGCACAACCCTATTTAAAGATAACCATACGAATTTGTAATTGTTAATGATCGCTGATCTTTGCACACTTTGCAACACACACAACACACAACCACCTGCCTTTAATAACACTCAGTGAGAGTTTTCAGCACTGCTCTCTAAATTAATTAAATAGTTTGGCGAAACTTTGATTGCGCTGATGAAAGGCAGCGAATCTGAGAAATTATGGCAATCAAATATCTTTCAATATTTAACGGTGGCTATTATGCGATTATGCGATGGGATTCCCCAAAAAAATATCTCTAAAATGATCTGTGGGATACTTTAAAAAATATCTCATTATTAACTTGGGCAATATGATTAATGGACGATCGTTGTGATAGTAAATACATTCATGCCGCATATTACAAAATTTAAGTTGCTGATTTCGCTTAGTGTTTAAACTTGCAATCAGTTGATTTACAACATACTTTGATGATTATAAGGGACAGAATAATAAGTGTAAGTTCAGTCAATGAAAGGTCATTGAAAAGACTTGAAGTGTTCATGAATATATTGGCGCAACATATTGGCAACATATTAGCCAACAGTTTATACTTTCAATTAGCAGTTTCCTCACATTTTGCGATCCACCAAACAAAATTATTAGTTTGCTCCATACAACTCTTGATTTCATTCGAGACGTAAAGATAAAGTTTGGCAAAAAGAACTCAATGAGCGATCATTGAGCGTACCAGGAAACTATCTGCAAATATTTGCAAATATTGAAATTTGCAATTAGCATTTTCATAAGCATAACGTAACATCTGTTTATATATGTATACAACAGCAGTACTCTATCATGATCTCACTCTCGAGAACTATTTTGAACTGATCTCATTCGTTAAATGCAATACACAAATTGATGCGAAGATCGCTTATTGCTTATAGGCCCCCATGCAAATGAGGATGTCATGCAGTGTTGAGCTGATGTCAGCTCAGCTGTATACATATATATATATATATATGCAGTGATATTAATTAAATGACGTATACGCAGTGTATTACCTGCGAGAATGACGTCAGTGGCTTGGAACTCTGGGACTTGCATCTGGCGAATGTGGCGTCATGGCATGTGTCATCGATTCTGTGTGTGTTTGCTTGTGCCAATTGATTGCATCACGATGCCAGCTGCAATTGTATCTGTAAGATACATGTACTATACTACAGCCACACAGATACTTGTGTTCATCCATTTTTGGCGGCAGCTGTGTGACTAATAGAATCAAATGTGGGTCAGGCATGAATTTGCATTTGCCTAGCGACGTTGGCGTCTATTTTTGGGCAGTCGGCAGATACAAGAAAATAAATATATATATATATATATACACAAATAACACAATGTTTGTTTTTGTCGGTCATAAAATCAGCGACAACATTGTGAATTAATCATACACACAACAATTCTCAAGTGCCGTCGCTGTCGCTGTTGTTGTGGTTGTCGTTGTCGTCGTCGTGGTGCCAGGCAATATGTATAAACCACAGCCGAAGTTGTGAGCACCCCAAAATCAATTGACATGATTTCTATAATAACACAAGACTTGCTTGCTGGCTTGCTTTGGATATTTGGGGCGTGGTACGAATGTTGGCCACCCAAATACGCAAAACAATTGCATCGATCAAACAAGCACAGCTGGTCGGCCGTGGCAACAAAACGGAGGCGCCGCTTTCGAGGACAACAGCCGCCACTAACCTAAGCCAAGTTGAAAGACGAAGCGTTGGCCAGAAATCAGTTCAGCCAAAGCAAGCAAGGCGCTAGGACGACGAGCAAGAAAGGATTGGAAACAACAATAACACGGCAACAACTGCAGCAGGACAGCAGGACTACCAACTGTGTGACTGAGACTGAGAGGGAGCGAGAGCGAGAGAGAGCGAGAGAGCGAAAGAGAGCGAGAAAGATCCTGGCAAGATGTGCGACTGTGGCTGCTACTCGTATTGCTCGCACGACTTATCCTGCTATTCGCACAGCCACTATCATTCCCATTCGCATCATTGTTGTGCCGGATACAAGTATCTGAAGTGCCTGTGTCGCTACTATCGACATGTGCACTGCACCTGCTCATGTTGGCGCCGAAAATGTTATCTGCTCTAAGGCGGCATTGACAGGTTCGACAACAGCAGCAGCCGCAGCAGAAAGGAACATGGGGATGAGGACGAGGACGAGGATAAGACGACAGCACCATTAAAATCACAAACTCAAACAATGCAAATCAGCAAAAGCAAATGATAAAGTCCTTTAAGTAGTTGCATAACACTTGGCTGCATCGTTGCAGGACGAGCAGGACGAGGAGTGAAGGTGGAACAGGAGGTGGACGAGCTAATGGATGATTGGGGGTGCGATTGCGAGGATAGCAACTAGCGTGCATACAGGTCGTATGTGCAACGTTTTCAGTTGTCTGGGTGAGTGTGTGAGTGTGCGAGTGTGACTGTGATTGAACGAGCGAGCGAGAGAGTGGGAGAGAGGGAGAGTGAGTGCGAGAGGGAGAGCAATGCAATGCTAGCGATGTGGCCAACTTGTTATAAATGCATCGAATGCATCTCGCAAAAATACTAAACGAATTCATTTTTGACTAACTCACCATGTAAAATCTTACATACCTACTACCTAATCTATATTTAAAGCATTCCTTAACACAATTTAATCACATGTAAATCACGATTAAGTTAGTGCATAAGTTCTACTTGAAATGTCCTAAGCACTCAATATATATATAAATGTTAGTTGTAGTTATCGATTCGGTACATCAAACATCATTTTGATGACAATTTTTGCCATATTTGTAACGGTTAAGAAACAATACATCAAATAAAGTTTTATTCCAACACCAACACAAATAATAATGCTGACTGATTGAATGGAAACTGAGCAGATATATATATATATATATATATATATATCAGATTTTAAGTTTAACCAAACAAAAACGTTTGCAAAGCACAAATATTCTGCAGCCCAAAAACATAACTACAATTTTCAAAGGCTAACCGAAAATTCCCAAACTCATCTTTGTATACATAACCAGTTTATTGGGGTAAGCAGTCGAAGTACCTAAAGGATAAGGAGGCGTGTAATTCGAAAGTCGTATGATAAATTCAAATGACAAAGCAAATTACGGCTTGTTCAAATATACACTTAATTTAGACGAGAGTTACGTATGTAATGTTCCTGGGCCATAAGCATAATTCGTAATCATTGGTTCCTTTTTTAAGCTGACTTCAGCTGCTCCTTGATATCTTGGTATCTTGGTATCCCGAGCGAAACAGCAGCAACACAAACAGTTCTTGTCAACATTGCCCAATTGGCCATATGCAAATGGCAGCAAAAGTCTCTTTGCTCTCTCTCTCTCTCTCTCTCTGCAGAAGCTGCCAAAACTCCCGGACAGCTGCCATATTCCATTTGGAATGGTGGCTGCTGGGATGGTAGATGATGGTGGGAGGTTTTCGAAAGTCAAAATGACAATGTTGTCATTTTGTGCATTGAATTACGTTTATTTGATGGCTGCTGGGGCGATTCGAGGAGCTGCCGGCACCAATGATTATCCGAGCTAACGACTGCGATTGCGACAGCCACGCCCCCAACCCCCCCCTCATTTCTCCTGCCCTTCCTGTTTGCCTGCCATTATAGGTGTTCCGCCCGGCAAACAAGGTGATTATGACACGAGTTCCCCTGGACGCGTTAATGGACTCGGAATATGCTGTGGCATCCTGCAGAAAAAAAAACCAAATACAAAAAAAAATGAATAAGAAATTCGAGCAGGACGAAGTCTAAATACTCTTTGCAGAATATATATTTATTGTTATAATATAATCGCAATTAATTTTATATAAACTGAAATCTGAAACTTGAAATCAAAATATTTTTGTAGAATATATAAAATATATTATATATTTTATGGATCCTTTCTAAAGTGTTATATACCCACTTGCTAAGGGTATACTAGCATTTCGAGAGGACAACGCGCGTACTTATTTAAATTTTGTATTGCTGGGTCACAGGACGTGACCAACAAGGAGCCAAGACCTGAGCGAGCCTCATGAATATCAGATGGAGCTGAGAGATGTAGCTACAAATCAGCTTGGATATTGGTTTTTGATTATCGCTCACAGCATGACTCGAGGGATGGTTAATGCAGTGGAGGAGGGTGTGTCAACCCACCTTGTGGGTGGGGTAGGAATTTGTGGTGCACATTATTTTGTGACATTTTAATTAACATTTTTTGATATTCTTTCTGGAGGATTAAAATAAATAAATTCTGTTTGACTATGGCGTGCAGTCTGCATGCCATCCGGTCTGGCAGTGCACCCTTCGCTTGGCAAACCGCTACCCACCCTCCGTCTCCGTCTCCGTCACCGTTTTCATTCACAACATTAAATATTTACAGCTGACTAAATTTGCGTGGAAATCGTTCGCATAACCGGCAAACCACTGGACGGCAGCAACTGTTGCTGTTGCTGTTGCTGTTGCTTTTGCTGTTCCTGCTGCAGTAGTTGCAACATTTTTGGTGCATAATTGTCTTGCGGGCCAGCCAGCCCCAAAATGGCCAACAGTCCACTGCATATTCGTGTTCCCGTGTTTTCCCATCTCCAAGCAAAGCCAACAATGGTTGAGGAAAAAACTGCTGCACAAATTATGAATTGTTTTCCTTGGTTTTTCTTCGTTTTTGGTTTTTAGTTTTTAGTTTTTGGCGAATCGTGTGCAGTGAATGGGAGGCGTGTCCAGAGAGGAGGCTTGCGGTCTTATTTATCCACTGAAGTGCAACTCGAACTGGCTGTGTGTGGTCCGACGAGTTTATCGATAAAAGAAAAAAAACTGAGCCAAAATTCATAAACCAAAAATACCGAAAAAAAAACCATTCGGTAAAAGTTTAAATGCTTTATGTGACAGGAGAAAGAGAGTTGGCTAGGAGAGAGAGAGGGAGCGAGTAATAAAACTAAAGCACCTGAAGGTTTTGCAATCATAATCATCATAATTTATGATAAGTATGAGCCAAGACTGGAAGATCATAGCTTAAGACTTCCATGGTTTATACTTTGATTCAAGATTTAGCTACTTTTAGTTCGATTTGTTGACCTCTTTGACCACTTAATATATTTACAGCCATAACTTTATCAAGACTAACCGATAGTTATGGCTGACCTCTTTAACAAGTTGGTAAAGTGATTCAAGCTCAAAAATCATATAAAACTGCTAATCTGAAATAAACATCGAAGGATCAATCCCTACTTTCCAATGCCAAACTATTTCAATATCTCAACCGATTCTCAAAAGCAATGACTTTCTCATCAAGATAATACAAGATATGGGTATACTCAAAGTTGGGAATGCCTTTTCTATACTTTAACTCTGATTACTTATTAATCTTCCCTAGTCGAGTAACAGAGTCCAACACAAGAATCAACTTAGAAAAGAGGTTTGGAGCTGGCGGCTGCATTTGAGGGTTACTCTCACCTGTGGCCAACAATAATTGCAGTTTGGAATTGCGCCCGTCTGCCCGTATATTAGTCCATGTTCATGTTTGTGTCAGTGGGTTCACACTGTTTGAGCTGATCTATTAACAGTCGCTTGTCATGCGCAAAGAAACTGCAACACAGCAAGTTGCGAGTCGCGGCGTCGTTGATTATGTCTGGGCCCCCTTGCAACAATATTGAAGTTGGGAAATGCTCAAGAGGCGGAGGAACAAACAACTTAAACGCTTAACTTGAAGTTGAAGTTTTTATTTATTTTAAGTCTGCGCTTCCCCGGTTTCCTGCCACCATATTGTAATGATGACACGAGACGAGGCAAAGACTTAATGATGCTCTTAACGAGCTTCTCACTGCCATATATACATACACACACACACAGACAGACATATACAGATATATACATGTATGTTGCCTGTCTATTTGCAACAGTTGGCAGGCACCCCATCTACCCCACCCGCCCCTCCACTCTGAGCAACACAGCAACATGCCGTCAGCAGCCGCAAATTGCAAACAGAAAGTAGCTGAATAATCGCTGCGCCATTAACTAAGAAATTACAGTCAGGCAAGGACTATTGTATTGCCCTCAATCTCTACTTCTTTTTTCAATCTGCCCGTCCACCCGTCTCCTGCCAACTTGCCACGTCTACTTTGTGTTGTATTTAAATACTTGTTCTACGCTTAAATGTAACGACTTTAACTCCAACTTGGTTGGACATAGGCTTATACAAATCTATTTTAATAGTAATAATATAAAAGAATATTTATTATTTAAAATAATATTTATGTGTAACTCAATATACATTGAAATATTATTTAGATTTGGTTCTTATTTGGAGCAATACTAAATTTAAAAGTTAAGTGAATCATTATTAATAAAATCTGTGCACTTACTTATTATTATATTATTAAAATTCAGCATGTTAAACGTTAAATTGAATAATGAATCATTCAACTACCAAAAATGAGAGTTTTTTCGGAAAGATTTTGAAATATAAACAACAACAGCAGCAGCAGCAGCAGCAACAACAAGAAATGCGCTTGGAATGAGGAAGCTGTAAAAATAGCGAGAGTGAGAGTTAATTACGTGTGAAAGCTATATATATATATATATATATATATATATATGTGATTATATGTGTGTGTCATCGTCAATTAAGCTTTGAATTAGGGAGGCTTCTCAATTTTGTTGGGAACTGAGCTGAGCAGCACTGTTAATCTGTGCTAATATTGCTGATGGTGAGTTGGAAGAGTTGCTCGAATCGATGCGCGGCAAATCAACTTATCAGCATTATTTACATTTATGCAAATCTGTGCACAGTGCGTGCAAACTGTTTTTGCCCCGCGCAGTTGCAACTCGACACTCAAGTCGACTGGTTGCATTGAGGCAGCCGCATCTCAACTCTGCCGCCCTGTCTGCGAATCTTTTTTGCCGCCTTAAGCGCAACTTAGTCGAAGCTTTACATTTATTTTTTTATTTTTATTTTTATTTTTATTTTTTTGCTTCTCTTTTGCTCTTTACATATTTATTATATTGTTGAGCGCGCACTTGAAAAGTGAAATACATTGTTGCATCGTCAACAAACAAACAAACAACAAGAACAACGAGCAGCGAACAGCGGACGGCAACAACAACTGCAGCCAAATGTTGCCAGCTGAAGCTATCGCTGGCTCGCTTGATCTTCTTTCACTTTCT